CTGCTGACCCCTCCGTCACACTGCTCACCAGCTACACTGCTTGGGCATGCCCAGGATTTTGAAGGTTATAGATGTGCAGCCTCTCAGAGGAATTACAATAAGAGACATGAAAAAAGGAAAGTTTTTTTTGCCTTATGTACAGTATAATGAATTTGAGAAAACTAACAAAAAAAGAAAGGCAAGTGAGACCTTATCTAACAGGTACTGCATTTTAAGAGAGCCTGGACCTATTCCTAACTTCACATCTGCACATGCATGCACTCACGTGCATTTTCGCACGTAGACAATCCATTTGATGTGGAAACAACGAAACAACGCCTGAGAAACACAGGGCAGTTAACAGCACAACACCTGGTGGCCAACTCCACAACAAGAACAAATCATTTCAAACAGAACATTTGGTGTGCTGCATTCTTAAAATACTGTCTTGAGTAAAAAAACAGCACAAACGTTCTCTTCAGTCTCTTCTTCCTCTACATATGCCTCGCTGCAAAGGGCATGTCTTCTGCAGGTAAACTGGCTCTCCAGCTCCCCTGCAGCCCTCAGGCCCAGAGGTCAGCACTTTTCTGATCAGGCTCAGCACTCCCTGGCCACTAAAGCAAGATGCGGTCATTTGCTGATATGATAACATTGTATTATGCGGCTGATATGGATTTTCTGAAAAGTGTACAGCACTGTCCATTACTCTCCGACAGCAATGTTGTTGTTTTTTTCCAAAGCCAATCCAGTGTTGTGTCTGAGATCGATAGAAATAGCTCCCATTTGACTCTGCGGGCTGCTGAGAGTGAAGCTCAAAACCAGAGGTTCTGTGAGTGGATACGCACAATAATTTTTTTTTTAACTCTTTTTTTTTATCTCAGCACTTCTTGATTTTGTTTGTTATATTTTAAATATGTAGACAGCAGACAGGACTTCCACTCCTTTGGTTACAATACCAACTCATTAAGTGTTACCAACAGGCATGACACCAGAGCCTATTCGTCAGTAACTAAACAAGAGTGAGCAGTGTGTCAGTCTCAGATCAGGGGTGCACTTGCATGCCCTGGTGGCTGAGCCTTAATTCATCACCATTCTTTGATAACTACATTTAAATGTAATTCTCCTTTTCTCACTTCCAGCTTTTATTGCATATTTGCATTTAAACAAACAAAACTCAAGTCTCCCAGAAGAGTAAGGGTTTTAGGTCAATGCTAATCATGGCCTCCAGGTAACCACCTGACTTCTGTCTTGGGCATGAATCAGATTTTTAGCTACAGAGGAGGAGGATGGAGATTGGTGTTTGTGGGATTCTGAGAGAGGCGTTCCGGACTGTGGGTGGCGAGCCAGTCGGAATGAAACCTGAAATCTGTGATGTCTCTTATATTTTTACAAAAGGAAACATTTCCACTTCTTCATGATCAAATCACAGAGATGCAGTTTTGTGTGTGAATGCACATCACTGTTCATACGCTAACCCTGTCCCTGACACTCAGTGAGCCTCATATTTGGGTAACAAACAGCACAGACAGAGCACCAAAGATGAGATACGACAGCAGAAAGCACGTTCCTTCAAAAGACACAAATGGAGGCCAAGTGCTTTGCATTCAGCCTCCATAAAAATTTCAAGATATTTTGAAATTCATCCCTGACTTCAGAAAACATTAGTCAAATTCTCCTAACAGATTTCCCACATCAGTGCTTGAGGAATGCGATTAGAAGTCACAGATTCATTTCTCCTTTAATAAACATTGTCTTAACACTGGATTCAGGCACCACTGTGTGTGTTGCATCATCAAAGTCACACTCACAGCTTCAAACTCGATGGCAGTGTGCACAGGTACTGAACCAGGGCTCAGACCACTTAGAGAGAGCCTTAACAAAGAAAAACCCTAATGCTACAAGCAACACAAATTCAAAATGTCAGTCAGAGCAGCATAAAACTTTGGTTCAGGAAAACTTCTGTGCCTGTTTCACACTTAGAGCTAAAGTGAGAAACCCGGCAAAATGTGATATCACACCTGCAAATACTCAGAAATGAATCAGCTCCTGCGGAGAAGGGGACATAGTCTTCTGTAACATGTGCCAGTCCGTGTCAATTAGAGAGACGAACAGTGAGTGGCAAAATCGGACTAGAATAATACTGTACATGGCTCCACTGCCTCACAGCATCTGGCCAAACCCATCTGAAAAGCCAATAGCATTATCTGCCAGCTGTCTGGGAGAGTTTCAGCCCATTAATTCAGAGTTGCCTGCAGCTAAACATTCTGGACTAAATTGGACTCCATTGTATACTGAGTTCTAATCACTCGGGTCACAAGAGCACATGGAAGAGGGATGTGCATGAAATAGACTCACTATTCAAGGGGAAAAAAGGCAGAACAGCGCTTGTCTGAGGGCTTCAGACCCACACCGTGTGGTACACCTGGGTGCTGGAGCTGCAGTGAGGACGCTCACTTCTTCAGCTACACTGCCTTCCCAACAGAAGCTGTTTTTTCACCCCTTTTTTATAACGTTTAAAAATTGAAATACAACAGAGCAAACCATCCCAGAAAGGCCCATTAATTATAGAAATGACTGTAATTGTGCCTGAGCACCTATCGTTCTGCTCTGTGAGCAGCCTGGGACAGCCGAGCAGATGAGATGTGACACTTCCTAAAGAGTTTTTCGGGAGCCGGTGAAGCCCCTTTAATGAACACCTGAGTAAATAAATAAGAGTGCAGTCAACACAGCAGCTTCATTTTGGGGTTCTCATAAATCATCCTGGGATGCTCCAGTGAGCCTGCAGAATGAGCTCTGACACCATTAAACCCTCCTCAGCTCTGAGCAGACAATCACAGGAAATATTTAGTTAACGCATTTAAATTACTGCACTTATTTCCCCACAAAGTGCTTTAGAAATATGCTTGATCTTGATCTGTCATATTCAATCTGCTAGTGTTGCCACAGCCATTGGTTCCGATTTCACAAACCAGCTCTCTCTATATATAATTTTGATTTTTTTTAAATTACATATCTCAGATATTGTGTATAATGTTTCTTTTTTTATCAAGCTTCAGAAGACAGACTGTTCGCTCTTTGAGACAAATGGTTCTGCTTAGAAGTCAGATCTTCATCTCCCCGAAAATTGAACCACTTTAGATAATTTTTGAAGTGCTTCTCTAGTCTAGGATTTTCTTCCCTCTGTCTTTTACAGATGTTAAGATCGAGTGTTTTATCTTCTAGATAAAGCAAGAAATTCTAGTTTGCATTGTATGCAAATTTTGCTAAGCAGGCAATGCATCACACAGGCACCAGGCGAGGCGTGTGCAGCTATATTTAGCCACGCTGATGAGGAAGCAAAAAAACCTGATGGTGAACTTGAAGTTCAGGAGCTGCAACAGCAAGTGACCATTTTGCAAACTACAAGTTTGTGAGCTTTTGTGCAAGAGTGTGAAACATCTGAGCTTTAGCTTTTGTTCTTGAACCACCCATCATTTCAATAACAACCGGGTCCACCACAGGGGTGCAGTGAGCCAGAATTCAACCCAGCAGGACACTCAAGGACACTCCATGGAGTGGACTCCCGTCCATCACAGGACTCCAGGCAGGACCTTGGAGATGATACTGTACCTGTCCATCACAGGACACACAGTTTAGGGATGACGATTAACCTGGACAGCATGTCCCAGGAAAGTGGGAGGAAACCAGGGCACTTGGAGAAACCCCATTAGGCCAACTCCAAAGAGAAGCTGCCCCAGGCCAGAATCGAACCCAGGGCTGTGAGCCTGCACCACGGACTGCTTGAGCCACCATGCCACTCTCCCTCATTGTCAGATCTCTTCAACACTGGAGAAGATTCCTTGTGTGTGCAGTACTCTTGAAATGTGGCTCAGCTGGAACAACTGCTGGAACAAGTCAGATGCTCCAGACCTGGGGAATCCTGTGGTTTCTATTTCAGCAGACTGTTCAGAGAGCTGTCGTCCTGGGACAGTCCTCAGTCACACAGGGAGACTCCAGCACGCCCTGTGGACTGTGGACTTTCACTGCAGCTGAGCACCACTGATTCAGGGCCAGTCTGCAAGGACCCGTTGGTGACTGGCTTAAAAAAGAGTCTAGGCAGAAGACTTCAAAAGGTCGCAGCAGTGCTCACCTCTGAGTCCCGGGAACAGGGCGGGAGCAGGGCGGCAGCGCGGAGCGCAGCGGATCCGGACCTTCATCGCCGCACGGCCGGGGGTGACTCGCGGGCTCACAGGCTGGACTCACGAGTGACACCCAGGGCTTCTCGAAGAGCGCCTGGTTTCCGCTCTGCATCTCAATATGGTCGTACTGTATGAGCCCTTGACCTCCCCCGCCAGGTGGCATGAGCCCAGTGGAGCAGCCCTGTGTGACGGGACTGCAGCCAGTCCGTCTGGGAGCTCTCCCAGCGCCGCGCACACAGACAGCACAGCCGGGAGGAGGACAGCGGGTTTCCTGGACCTGGAGAGAAGTCCGCCATTTTCCTTCCATCCAAGCTCTTTATTGCTTAACCAAACTAATTAGTGGCTTAATTCGTTCAGGTAAGTGATGACACCCTGCCCCTTTCTACAGAATAGCGTGCTCCTGCAAAACAGCTCTGTGTGGAGAAAAACACAGGACGTTCCCCTTAGTGCTAAGGGTGTGGAACAGAGCAACAGAACATGGATTCTGAAGCCTGTACCCTTGTCAAGAGAAGAGGCATCCATTATATTTACCACTTCAAGAGTTTTATGCAATCCTGGCCTGATGATTGAGGAACTGAGTGACCTCTCCTTTTTTAACTGGAATTAACGAGCTGGTTGTTAAGAACAAGTAAAAAAAAATATTTTTTTTTGCAGAAAAAAAGCAAAGTTGCCTTTTCTACTCCATTCCTGGTGATTAATAACGTATTCTCTGATGGGACCCAACACCAGAGACCCAACACCAGATTGATGACTTCTTCAGACGCAGGCCTGTGTCGGAGCCACACCCGGAATGGGGGTGGGGTGTCTTAATTGAACCAGCTGCACACACACCTGAAACACACATGATTCATGCAAGAACTGCCAGTGACTCACACATCACTTTGCCATGTGCGATGGCTCTGATCTGCACTAATACTGCACTGGGGAATCTCTGTAAATATTGGCAGCAGAACAGGACAGGAGGGGTCCTGCACTACAGGAGGGATTCATTACAGGGATACTAGGCACTGCATTTCAAAGTTGTTTTGACAGTTTTGTGATAGTAACTGCTGCTCAGTGCCTTTGCCAAAGGAAGGGATTAGAGTGAGATGACCTCACCCTCTTATCAGTCCTACAGCGCTTCATTCAGGATTACAAATCGATCTGCGCCAGCCAGACGTGCCCCCTTCACCTCTCTCCACCTCCTCGGCCCCCAGGACAAGCCCTCTGAACCTCACCTCACACATCTTCCAGCCTGACGTATCGAAGTCAATGGACTTACAAAGAAATGCTTGTTTATCCCAGCCCACAGAACAGAACAGAGAGCAGAGACAAAACACGATTTTATTCCAGCTACAGAAACTAAATTTGAACAAAATCAATAAACACCTCGCTTTGGAGAGGCTGAAAGACTATGGAATTGTAGATTGTGTCACACTATGGGTACGCTGCCCGTTTAAGGCAAATAAATTGCTCTGACGAACGTCTGTTTTATTTAGTCAGTTTTGTTTTCCTTCTGAAGTCCTTCTCCAGGTTTAATGCAGGACTCCATTTGGCACAGGCTGATGTTTTCCTATGTAAACCAGCTGAATAAGACCCTGCGGTACTCATTATGCTGCTGTGAGCTCCTGGACAGGCTTTCCTGATCAATGGTTCTGAGGCCCGCAGCCCCACAGCCAGCTCCGAGGTCTCTCTGGCATTCCTGCGCCCCTCCAGTCATTACAGCGGCTATCCGGGCTAATGATGCACTGACAGGGCAGGATCAGAGCGCCAGCTCCCTCCGCAGAGCCTGGCACTGGAGGCCTGAAGGAGAGGCACTGGGAAGCATCTTGATCAGTATCTGTGCGCTACTCATTGTATCGGCTGCCTGAGAGCGGCCACGCAGCGAGAACACCACTCCCACTGCTCTTTCATTCACTCCGGCTTGTCTGAGCTACAGACTGAAGGTGCAGAAGGGAAAACATCGATTTCAATTTAGTTTTAACTCAAAATAAAGATACAGGTGCCGCACTACTGCAGTCAAGCCGGGAAAATGAATACTCATGCAACACAGGTGCAATAAAGCTGGTAAAGATGCGATTGACATGGGCTCTTTCAACCAAAGCGGCGTCCATTTTCTTTTCCAGCTTACATTCTTATAACGACTCATCTGCAAAACCATCCTTGCCTCCTCTGGACATTTAATTCCTCCCAAAACCACATCAGGTTAAACTGCTGTGTGCTGGCATGGGGCTTTGTTTTCAATGAGTCGGGATGACTTGCTCTTTCTCGTTGCAATACGGATTATACAGACTGTGGGAGGAAGAGACAGCAGCTTCACGGTCCAGCGGCAGAGATCGTATTGTATGCAGGAGGGTGCTGCCTGCCCCGCGGAGCCTGCTCAGGAGAGAAATGTCACTCTCCAGTGCCTGTGTGCCTGAGCACCAGGGCTTTTAAATTAAGCCCACGGTCAGGGGTTCAGTGCACAGGATCATGCACACACACACCAGGTGAACGCATGTGCAGGTCCATTTGAAAATGGAAGAAAAAATAGCAGCATTCTTCCCTATTACTGTGACAAACAGAGTGACAGGGCGCAAGCGAGCCCTGCTGAAATGCCTGCTCTGAGAGACAAGCCGGAGGACGTGAGCCAATGATGTCTAAACAGGCGAGACAGAGAGAGCCGCAGTGAGCGGCTGCCTGTCTCCAGCTCTGTGCAGCGCCCTTGTCAGTCACTGACAAGACACATCTACTTCCCTACCCGCTGTCAGAGGCAGTAAAGGGACTTGGCAATATGAGGAGGATTGCATGTCAGTGTGGAGGGCTGTAAAGGAAATTGGCTCCAAACAGTATTCAATTTAATGAAGAACCACTTTGGCAGACAATTAAGAATGGTGATTTCTGTATGCATGTTTACATAACTATGGAATAGTTTTCACTGAAAAATCATTTTCTGGTATAATATTAAGAAGTTTGTTAACAAGCCATGTGTTCCTATTAGATGCATGAGTGACAGGCTACAGATATCTATGATTAAGTTGTACTGAGAGTAGGAAATTATACTGTAGTTACACTTATCTATTAATCATGCACATACAATTAACTGGAGAGCCAGGAGGAGAGACACAAAATCATGGGGCCTTAATTTTATCGAGTACGAAAAATTAAAATACAAAATAAAATTCTGCAGAAGAGATTTGTCCTTGAAGCAGTTTGGAAAACAAGAACGCTCACAATGAAAAGTTCTGAATACAGCTCCCCCTGTGACAGAGCAGCCAGCTGCGACAAGCCAGTGATGAATGCTGTGATATCAATAAATCCCATTCCAATTGACTTCTTCAGGGAATTACAGCACGTGAAGGGACTTGTGTCCAGCACGGAGAAGACTGTGAGATTTATTTTTCTTTCACCTCACAAAGGTTCACAGCCACCCCCTGCTCTGAGGCGCCCTGCCACATGTGGAACGGTCACACACACCCAGCCGAGAGAAAGACTCAGACCTCAGAGCCACTCTGTCTCCAGTACTCACACTGCATCACTCTCCCAAAAGCACTTCCTCATTCCTTCGTCCTCCATAATCAGAATCTCAGCCTTGCACACAGAGACTCCAAATCCTGCACAGCTGAAGGTAGTCTTAGAAACACAGTAAACACCCTTTTCAAAAACAGGTGCGCCAGGCGCCCTCCAGCAGCCACTGGAGACGAGATGTGCAGGTATCTGAGGTGTTGAGGGCATGTGTAGCAGGTACTGTACTCTATGGGACTGCTCAGGTCTCCGAATGGGCACCTCTGAGGTGCAGAAAAGCTGCCACAGCTCTAATTCTAATGAATGAGGAATGAAATTTGAAATGAAGAGAGGGAATCGGGATTGCTTCTCCACTCCAGCTCTATCCCTGGACATATTTAAGCTGCAAATGAACCTGTCAGGATGTGTCTTTGATACCAGAGATACTCGAGGAGCACCTCTCCAGACGGAAACACCCCAGACCAACTTTCCTTCTCAGACGCAGCTGGACACAGACGGCTCAGGTGGGATCGCCTCCTCTCCGCACGCGGTGCTGCAGGTTCCGCTGGCTCGACAGGCTGTTTTATTACACAGGGTTAATGAATCCCAAGGATCCTGGCACATCCCAAAGGAAAGAATACAATAATAACAGCAACTCAAATTTATTGATGAGCGCTTTTCAAAGAACTGTACAAAAGCACTAAAGAAAAATACTGCCTGGATTCGTTCCAGAAGAAATGAAGAGGATTGCTTCTCTAAAGAAGGGCAGCAGGCACAGGGTATACAGACACTGCGCTGCCGCTCAAACCCAGAAAGACTCTCCGTGACCAAGATGGGACATTCCTTAGCTAAGGAGAAAATGGACGTTTTCCATCTGCTTGTGGAGCAATCTGCATTTTTAATTACAATAAAAAAACGGCGTGGAAGTACAGCATGACAGTGATAGAAAAGAGTTCCAACTTCAACAGATCCTGTCATCGGTTCCTGATGGAGACACTTTCATTTGCATTTAAAAAAGAAAAAAAAATCAGATTTCCCATCACAGGAAAAAAAGATCAGACCAGGGTAGACAGTATAACAAGCAAGAGGCTCTTTAAGGGAGAGAGCGTGGGCGATGAGTGGCACAATCCTGGCTGGCAGGGTGATTGAAGGAAGGGCAAAGGTCAGCAGACCTCTGCTGCAATTAGAGAGACGCTTCCTGTCATTCATCCTCGTTAAATAGCCACTGGGGACAACCCGGAGCCGACGGGGCTCTCGGCCTCAGCAGGGCTGTTACACAGACCTGGAGGGGCTTCTGTGATTCCCCCATCGATCTGACTTACTCCTGCTCCCCGCTCCCCCCTCTGCAGGCTGGAGGATTCGCAGTGCGGGGGGGCTGGCAGGGGCACGCACGAACTGGATCACGCGGATCGGACCGGATCGCTCCAATGTAGCTGGTCACAGCGCAGCGCGAGCCGGGAGCATCAGGACCTCCCCCGCTCCCCTCGTGCAGCCGCCAAAGGCCTGTCTGCCGACACACGCAGGGGGCAGAACTCACACCTCGAACTGCCCCACGG